AAACCCCTGTGTTTTCACAACACCACTCACAAAAACACGTTGTTTATTTTTCTCCTGGCCAACAATCCACTTCCATCAAATCCATGAGTTTTCTCACTTCATGGATTAGAGATGAGAAGAATAAACGCTTGCAGGCAAGGAAACAGCACAGCATGTTCCTTACCCTCAGATCAATGATTCTGTTGTCCAGTCTTGTATCCTGGTTTACAGTAGCTCTTCCATCCTAAACAGTTGTGCAAAAACACGTAGTGAATACCCACATGTCCAAAAAATAAACAATAACAAAACTGCAACAAAACAGAGTTAATGGAGAAAAATATTAATTCTAAGTTCAGCAGGATTTCTAGATCATTCTAGAAAGAACATACAGCACTGGCAGCACAGCAAAGTTAAAGGTGCAACTTCTTCCAGAGGCCACAGGCAGAACCCAACTATGAGGACCCAGCAGAAACACATGCAAGACTGGAAACCCTCTGGTTTTGACCTTCTGCTGCAGGTCTCTATCAGAGCTACAGAGATGTTGGACACAGCTCTGGATAACATAAAGGAAATAAAATGCAAGCCCAACAAAAAAACCCAAATCACCACATTAAGAAGCTGCTTTCGTGCTTTTGTTCAGCTACAAAGCCAATAAGAGGCATTTGAGGTTTCACCTCGTCCCCCTCCAGCTCTGGTCGCACAGCATCATCCAGCTGCAGGGGCAGGCGGGGCTCGGCAGCGCTGATCACGTAGATCTGGAATCAGAGCACAGAAATAGCTGAGGAGCTGCTCCTGAGGAGCTGCACTGACAAAGGGGTGTTTCTGGCAGGGACCTGAAACACTTTTGCACAGGCTGTGATTCTGTTCAAGTACTGCAGAGATATGGGTGCATTCTCGTGACGACACTGCAAGTGCTTAGTTCTTGCTTTCCTTTTGAAAGATTAAAAGTACTGTTTTTCCTTCTGAGAAGCACTAAGTTTAGCAAGCACATACTGCCTGAGGGATGAGGCTCTTGGCATCGATGCCAGCTCTGAAACTAAGAGACTTCACCGAGTTTTAGGTTCTGATTCCAGCAGGATCATCCTCTTCTTCTTGTTGTTAATGTATTATTTACTTATCATCTGATTAGATCTGAAAGAGCCATTTCGGGTTGAAAAATTTATGAGACACCTAAAATACAATCAGAGAACGAAAAACAGCTTGCCCTGCCTTCCAGTCTAGTTACAGGAGCAGTGAATTTGATGTTCTTGCAGAAAAATCAAGCCTCTGATAATCTGCACACATATTAAAACATGTTTCTTCACAATCTGCAGGTTTTCCCCCATACTAAAATTCACCTCACTGCTATAATAGCCATTGTACTCTACCCTCGAGGCCACTGTGTTTCAGCTGTACTGCAGGCAGAGTTTGCTTAAAAACCTTTAGAAGGAAAGGATATTACATAAAGGTTTAAATATGCTTTCTATTTAAACAAATTATAAAGTTGCACTTCCTCCACCCCTCCAGCACAAGCTCCAGGAATTTTAGGTTTCAAAAGCTCCCATACTGTTAAGCCAGCAAGAGTTTATTTCTGCCCCAGCTCTGTATTTCACTCCATTGTATCGAGGGGAAGATTGCAACTCTGATAAAGAAGAAACTGCTGACTTGCCCTTAAAAAGAAGCAGACTTTATTCCACTATCTGCTTCAGTTAGGAATCAGAAATGAGAATTACAAGCTCTCCTACCCAAACTGTTCTAGGGAGATACTTTATGTTACTTGATACTGTAACCCAAATGGCAGATAAACCCAGGAAAATATAAACCCCAAATATCCTAAACCCAGAAATGTTTAGTGTTTGCACATGATACACTGAAATTTGTAGTTTAAAGGAGTTTATTTCTCTGGCATGGGATTCCTTACTGGCAAAGTTCATATATGCAGAGAGTCAGCCTCAACAGATAATTTATCAAACAATTAACCAGTGCTCCATTTGCTCAAACATTTACCCTTTGAACGTGAAGCTCAACATCTTGCTGAGTACATCCTCCAACTTTCTGAAACGCTTTCCTCACAACACCTTCCACATCCACAATGCTCTCCTTGGTGATGCTGCCAATAAAGAGAGGACAGAGGGGTTACTGAATTCCATGGCACTGCAGCAGCCCCGGCACGCTCAGGTACTGCATGGACTGCTGAAAACAACACAGTTAAGGATTCAGGGGAAGTTACTTTTATATAAATAATAACTGGGTAGTGAAGGACTTGGCTAAAATATTCCCAGCTACACTGAATTCAGGCCAGGATGGAAGACTTGTGAGGGAAAGGATGATGATTAAGCTCGGTGCTGTCCCGTTCTTTGTGTGTGAATACACACACTGACAGTCACAGAGCTCTTTTTCTAGGCCACAGACACTCCTGCATGTGTCAGCTGATGCAATTATCTGAAAGATGTGCCTTCCCCAGCTGAACAACAAACTGAAGGGAAGTCCTAGAGCTGGAGGGGAAAAATCAAAACTGCTCCAGCTTGTTTAAACTACAGACTTGTTACTGAGAGCTGCAAGATGCTTCTAAGTCATTTTCTGGCGACACGGGACATCCTAATTGCTCTCCACGACCAGTCACTAAGAGTCCTTTAAAACACCACACCCCCCCAGAAAGTCTTCCAAAGATATGACAGAAAGCATGTCTGCTGTAAGCAAACAGTAACAAAAGCCTCAAGAGTCATAGGTGAGAAAAAAAAAAATCGTGTGAGTTTTTATTTGCATATTTAAGGTACTGGAATTTAAACCAGTAATTTTCTGCAGACACTCTCGCCCTCACTGGAAATGGATTTTCGCTCTGTCTCTTTGCCAACAGGTTTACAAAAGGCCAAATATGAGAACGTATTTGATTCTTTTTTTTTTACAAAAGACGTTACAACTCATCTATCACTTCTCAGGCCTCCTTGAGAAGGCTGAAAAGCACTTCGTGTACATCACTTGAGCACCCAAACCCTCAGACAGCCAGGAGAGTATCAGGCCCACAATTTAACTGCAAATAATAAGAGCTGAGCGAGGATGGCACTGGACACGCTGCTCACTGCTGGTCTCGGCAAAGCAAAGAGCCATTAACAATCCTCAAGTTCACAAGGCTGGTGTTTCTTTTACTTTGATTAAAGATGACAAAAGTCTTGAACAATCTGATGACACTGAAGTAACAGTAGAAAATTCAAGCATCAAAAGCCTCAAAACCGAACTGTGGCACTGTGAGTAAGCTCTGATTACCTTAAAAAAAGCGCCCAATTTGAGCATTTGAACTGATTACACGGTTTCTTTGACGGTAATCCTTTCAGGTGATAGAACTCGCTGGCAGCTGCTCTAAGAGTTACACAGACCAGGGTGATTCATATGCTTGACTTTCTCAGCCATTAGGTAGTTCTACCTACTGCATGAAATCAGAATTCACTCAGTTATGGGGGAGCCTCCGTTCATCTCCATCATTTTAGCAGAGGCAACAAATTCAAGAAAGGGAAATTGAAATGACACCAAGAGCTTGGCAGCACCTTCTCTAACAATTATTCTGTTTAAAACTCCTTAAAAACACTGTGGAACCAATACAGCACTTTGGATGCAAGAGAACGTGACGATAAGAAATGCAGAAAAAAATGATGCTGAAACTGTAAGGAGTGTAACTATAAATCCCCTCTGCTTTTCAAATATGGGAATGTTTAAAAGAATTAAAAGTTTTACTCTCCTGTGAACTTTTTTCCCCAGACAGTTCTCTACTGTCTCTTTTTCCCCCGCTCCGTTTTCCATGTCAACACTTTGGCAGATGTCCAGAAAACACCACTAACGACATGAAGAGCAGTGTTTTCACTGCAAATGGAAGTTTCTAATCTGCTGAATAAAAGCCCTCCCACCAATAAGTGCAAATAATGTTTTAAACTCACTGAAGGAAATTCTTTGCGTTGTGAAAAGGAAAATAACAGTTAAATAGAAAAGTGTTGTGTGATGGATTCACCATCAGATTACTGATCCCATGGTGAGAACTGGGGTGAGTGAAGTCCTTACAGAGCTTTGATCAGAACATGCAAGGAATTCAAGACACCCAGAATGGTATCAGCTTAAAAGCACAGGAAGAAGGTGACTTTTACATCACTTTTACACACTGTAACTGCAATATTGCTTTGCAAACTTGCACAACAGAACTTATCTGCACGTATGATAAAATGAGCTTTCTCTCTCTCTAAGCTGGAGTTGCAATTAAAAGATGTTTCTTGGTCTGCAACACACTTTCATCATCTCCTATAACTTCCATTTAATAAAAAATATGCTTTTCCTCCTTAAAACGACTCATTTAATCAGGTATGGAAATAAATAAAAGCTGGTGTTTTGAGTTCTGTTTGAACTCAGCAAGATCTAGAGCTGCAAAAATCAGAAGTCTCTAACAAAGTGCATCAAAGATAAACCACAGAAACCCAGAAGGTGCTGCTTTTATCCCAACAGGTGACGCCAATAATGTTACTGAAATGGTGATTTCAGGTCAAGTTACAACAAGAAACAAGAAGTTGTAATGACACGCCAGTAAATTTGTTTTCCACAGCAGCAGGACCAAGTCATCTGGGTGCTTTTTGACCAAATTCCCCTGGGGAACAAAAAAAACCCCAAACACACAGGAAAAAAGTGAACAAGTAGCAGAAAAGCGTGACAAGGCACGACCACCATTCCCAGAGAAGACACCAATATTTATACCTGTAATTGGTATGACCAAGGACTAGAAACTCGATGAGTTTCATAATAAATACATTAACATAAATGCATCAGTAAGGAAGATGACATTTTTATATTGTTTAATATTTAGAGAAGCTACTTGAGTAACAGATTCATGAGGTCCAATGCTAAACAATTTCTCTGTATAGTAAACTACTTTACATGTAATAGTCCAAAATAACCAAGACTATAATTACTAAAGTGTCCACTAGATGCCTTTTTATGTCCCTCTTAATAATGTGCATGTCTATTAGCCAAGACTTTCTCTTTCAACCACAGGATTGCATCCTTGCAGCCTGTATGGCAACATCTTTCACCAACAGCTTCGTGTTGCAAGCTGAACCCTGTGCTGAGGTGAAGAACAATAAACATTTTCTTGATCAAAAGGCTGAAGAATAGGAAAAAACTTGCTTATTCATGGATTTTAAGTAGAAAATGTTGTACTTCATCTGTAGCATCTATACCCATTCAGGCAGTTTCTTGGTTTTACTTCTGTAAGCACTCTGCACTAATTACTATATTAATACATGATTAAATCTAAATGCATTGAATAACTGTCATAAAATACAACAATCAATGATACTTTATGTGACTGGCAATGAAAGCTGAAGGCAATGGAGTTTACTTTTAAAAAATGAGTTGAGAGCATAAACATTTTGTAGTCGATGAGAGCAACTGTGATCCTGCCTGCACACATAGAGCAAGTGTCCAGGAGGCCCCCTGAACACTCACACTGCACTCCTGAAGGCCAGAAACACCTCATTCTCTTCATTCTAAAAGTATAATAATCTGATTCCTGTACCAACACTCTAACACTTGGTAGAACCCCACCGCCTTCAGGCAAAAAAAAAGAAGCCTATCTATTTTTAAAGCTTTTAAGCAACAAAATCCACCATGCATTTTGAATAACTTTTACTGAAAAAACGCCACTTTATTTCCCTTCTGCATTTCCCCAACTTCATCCTCTGTTCATTGCATCCTGTCACACCTCTGTATCTTTGACTTAAGGACCCTCCACTGGCAGAAAATCTTCTTGTACTGGTACCATCAGCCTGGGATTTAAATTACTGAATCTCCCTAGGACTGAATAGTTTTCTTTAGTCTCACAGGAAGGCAGATTTGCCTGACTGTAGATTATTTCATCTTGCAACTTCACCATCAGCCTTTTCCAGTTTGAAACACACTGAGACACAAAGACAACACCAAATCTGATGCAATGATCACCAAGGTACAAATTCTCGCTGAAGAGCATCCAAGTGACTATTCTAAATGAGCCCTCTTACTCTACACTCCTGAGCATCTACTTTACCATCCAATTTCTGTGTCACCAGCAAACATCACAACTGCAATTTGACATTTTTGTCCAAACCACTGATATAAAAATTAACCAGAAATGCAAAAAGAAAATATTCAGCAATACCCAGCAGTTTTCCTGGGTTTACTAAATTATCTAGTTAAAAACTCATGTCTATTTTGTTACATTGTACATTATTTTCATACAGGCTTACCCTTTCCCCCCCTCCATTTTTACTCTTTTTTCCTGTATTTTTATTCTCTACTATAAAGAGCCATCAAGTTACTTCCTCTGCAAGGGCACATTTAGGAAGCTAAATTCGAATCTGTTAACCACCTCTGCCAACTGCTCTATCATCTCACGTGGCTCTGGCAGTGGGGTGGCAGGAAAGGCTCAATGCTGATATAGAAAAAGAGAAAGAAAACCAAAACCAACCCCACCCCGGATTTGCTGGAAAAGGCAGGTTGATAAATTACTAATTGGCACCTCTGAATTAACTCTTTCCCTTACACAGCACCCCGTGCAGGACCAGCCTGGACTGGTCTTTCTGACCAAAGGCATAAGAACAATTCCACAGCTGCCAAGCCAGGATCTCCACTGGCTCTGTGCTGCTGGCCACGAATATTTTGGAAGTTCAACTAGAAACTTTCCAGAGTTAAGCTCACAGAAACTTCTCTGCAAACCTGAGCTAAACGAGGGCTAAGCACCTCACTAAAAAGAACTTACATTCTTATGATAATGGACATAATTAGTATATGAATGTTGCTGACCACAGGAGGTTATGAAAGTTCTTGGTTTCCATGTGCCAATATCTAGAAGAGGAACTGGTTTGTTTATCGTTTATGAAAATTTGTACAGTAAATGTTCATTATTTAATGAACCCTCATTAAAAACACAAGATCCAGAATTTCACAAACTATTTTAAAGGAAGTTGTAGACACTATCAAAACAAAAAAATGTAGCACACGAAAAATATAATTTATTACTATCAGTGAAAAAGTTAAAACATGGATTTGAAATTTAAGGTATTTAAGTGAAATGTTTTCATCAATAAATGTGTATTTGCTCTCTTAATGCGTAGGAAATGAGATGATGAAAGGAGACACTGAGAAAGGCAGGGAAACAGGACAGCTATTTTTAGACATCTAAGACATTCCTCATCTGGTAAAAACAATGGCATCATTCCAGAGCAGGTGAAATGTGGCTGGGAAGTGACTGAGGACAGGCACGTCCTGGGCTCTGCCTCAGGTGCTGTGACACAGTGACCCCACGTGCCCTCGGGAGCCCCTGAAGGACAACAGGCAGCTGCAGTGGCAACCGTGGACAGAACTGGGGGAGATAAAACACTGGAAAAAGTGAGAGCATGGCAGGATATGAATAAAAGAGGTCTGTGGGTGGGAAGGATTCATGAGAAGATGGTTGCACTGATGGTGTTAACAAAGGCAAACCCCCAAGGAGAACCCAGAGGGTTGTAACAGGGCAAGTTACATCGTTCAAAGACTGTGCTGCAGAGCATGCAAGCATTTCAGAACCACAAATGATGAGTAAAACAGGAATACTATAAATTAGGAGAGGCTGAGTACCAGGATTTAACTAGCAAATGCTGTCCCAAAAGGGAGCAGAATGAAAAGTCAAAACACAGTAGAAATATCATGAATTCCAGCTACCCAAAGGAGTTCAGGTCTGTCCCATCCAGAAAAGTGGAGAGATTACAAGGAGATGGGAAGAACTAAGGATGAGGTTCTGTCTGATTCAACAGCTCACTGCTGCCATGAGAGAAAGGAGCTTTGCCCCTGACTCTTTCCAGATACCCTAATCCACCATTTACCATACCTTGTTAGCTCTGGATCTCCATGACCTAGTATAAAAATCACCAACCTGGCAGAAAACTAACCAAGTAAAAAAAGAGCAGTGGATCACAAAAAAACATCATGCAAGGTTCATAAGCGGCAGTCAGCACGTGGAAGAAAAGAGTAAGGACCAACTTCCCTCTCGTGAGCTCCTAACCACTGAGCTCTGCCTCTCGTGAAATGTAAGAAATTGGGCTGTGGAGTGAAGAACCACAGAGAGAACTGAAAAACAGGTATTGGAGAGAACTGGGGAACAGCAGAGTGAGATCACAGCTCTAAGGGCTGTTCCACTGCTCTGCAGCACAAGTTCACCAAGAGCACAGGCAGACTACTGGTAGGTTGGAGGGAGCTGAATTAGGGAACAAGTAAATTATACACTGAATTCCTTTCAAGGGTTCCAAGTGCTGGAGAGAACAAACCATGCCATGAAGGAACAGAACACTTCACTTTGGCTCACAAACACCTGTAAACAGCATGTTTCACACTGGCACTGCCAGCACTGAGCAGGGCCAAACAACAAACACTGCTGGGTCTGTTTTCCCGTTGCCTTGAAGCCCCTCAGCAGAAGCATTATCCCAACCTTCTTAGCTTGGTTTCTGGAAGTCTGGGCTACAATAAATCCTTCCTCTCCTGACATATTGAAGGTTGAAGGCACTTTTGCAGTTAATTAGTGGGGGCTCCCTTCCCAGGCATGAGAGCAGTGCCAAGAGCTACACAGAAGCAACTCAAGTGCCACATGTTAAACATTATTGCACCAAACTGAGCCACATTTCTATTTGTGAACAAGTGGATATACAGGATTAAAAGTTCTGCTATAAAACACATCTATCATGCAAGCATGTTTATTACTGGGCAACCTGAAAGCACAGTCTTAAGCAAATGGGAAAGTAATTTTTTATCTTCAGGAACAAAACGAACCAAATAACTGAATTCAAGCAGCGGCAACAAACACTTTTAATTGACAAGTCTATCAGCACCCCTCCCCAGTTTTTTAAAAATCAACTTACATCCCTCATTACACGTTCTAGTGCCAAAAATAAGGTGTTAATAAGATTAATCCAGTGCACAGAAACTACTTTTAATTTCTTCAACTCAGTAAGCCACTTGCAACGTGGGACTCCTTCACATCCGTTCTAACTATAAAATGTGTTCCTACACCGCACATCTTGTAGAGAAACCCCGATCATGTGCAGACACACAGCAGCACCACACACAAAATGAAGTGTCCCACTAAGCTCAGCCTGCCAGACTTTTTGTTAGCCAGCTTGGAAGTAAATGTAGGTTGCCTATGGCGAGAGAATGCTGCTTCAGCAGTTCAGAATGAATTTCGAGCCTGTTCTCTATTTTACCTTTTGTCAGTGTAATGTATTCAGGGCAATAGAGAGCTGACAATTTAAATAACTACATTTTAAAACAAACGAAGCATTGATGTTAATGTGTGAAAATGGTCCCAACCCCTGGGAGTCCTGGTTCCCACCATTGTTTACTCTGACAACAGGATATAATTGCTTACTTACTTGGCAGCAAACTTTACCATCTGCTTGCTCGCATGCTGTCCCACAGCCACCAGAGCCTGGATGTTGAACTGCTGCTGACGTAGGACCAAGAAGCACTGCTTCCCTGAGCACAAAGGGACAACACAGGTGTATTAAGGACAACTTACTCCAGGGCTCTGGGAATGAGGGAAAAATGCTTTACTACCTAAATAGTAGGCAGAGCTTTAAAGAGGGTGTGTGTCTGTGTCTAGCTCATCGTTGCCAACCCCTCCCCAAAAAAAAAAAATTCCATCAAACTACTCAGCTGTGCATGTACACACACCCTCAAACCCTGAGGTAAATAATTCTGCCTTACATCTGTAAACACGTGAATGGACAGCTTCTGAAAATAACAGTAAGTCTTCCAGTATAAATAATATTTAAACAAAAGGAAAAAAACAAATCATAACTTTCAAACTAACTATTTTTCTTCAACTGCAAGAAGTAAACCAGCCTTTTCCTTGTTTCTTTGCTCACAGCTACTTCCAGTCCATATTATTTTTAAAGAAGTTTTTTCTCATTTTCTCAGATCAAAGCTGTAGAGGCCACTTGACAACGCTGCTCTGAGAGAAACGGTCTTGATTTTGCAGTGCAGGGACTAAATAACAGTAATACACCACACATTCAGCATGAAGGGGTACAAAAGGAGTATTGATTCTAGTGAATGACAAGAAGCTAAAAGCCCCAATTAAAAATTCCTGTAAGAGCAATTTCATCACGAACATCTTAGGGAAAAAGAAGTTAATAGGAATTAATAACAACTTACAAAGAACATAATGCATTTTGCTGACTTTTAAAATGGGTATTTTAAGTCATCAAAGCTCTTTCTAATCTGCTCAGCCGACAGTTACGATCATTTCATATTTCTTCTCACATCTCTAACAGCCATTTACTCCTTAACTCAGATTAAAGGAAATATGGTGATTTTAAATGCTTCTTCCTAGAGAGAGCCATTAACAACAAACATTTCATTGTTGTGCCAGTATCTGATAAAGGCACCGATATCCCTTTAACTTCATCCCTCTGACTCACAACATTGTAACATTTCCATTGAAATGGTGAGAATAGGAAGAAGCCAAAAGCTTTGTTATACACAGCCACTTCCCAGTTATTGTTGACTTAGACCCTAAAACAATAAATCAACAGACACATAACTTGAAAACTGACACTAAAAAGCCAGTTGCCGTTTTCATTTGTAATTATGCAATCGCCATTCCTGGCACAGCTACAGAGAATTTAAACAGTATCAGAGGAGAAATGCAGAACACTTGACACACAATCTCATGGAAATAAAAGTAAACACGCACAACTAGTACAAAATATTATTAAATATTAACATTACAATTATTGGAAATAATTAATCTTGTCCTACGACAAACAAAAACGCAACTAATTTAGTTACTAATTTTCAGAAAACAGAGCACAACTATTTCTGTACTCCAGAGGTGCTCACGCAAAAAATCCCCAGCTGAAGACAGCTACAATGTCACTCAAACAGCAAACATTTAAGGATAAAGTAGTGAAATAATAGAGGAACCTGATACCACAGGATCATAGAATAGTTTGGGTGGAAGGGGCCTTCAAAGGCCACCCAGTCCAACCCCCTGCAATGAGCAGGGACATCTTCAACTAGAGCAGCTCACCCAGAGCCTCATCAGAACTCTCTGGTGGTTGCACTGAATCCCCAGCACTGCAAGCCTGACCAATATCTGCATTATAAAAGGACTCAGATCTGTCTGTTGTGAGGAACAGTAGCTGTTCTCATGAGCCAAGAGGATGTTTTGCAGAACTCCACCATTTGTAATCACACAGCAGATAAGTGATCAAACAGACCTCACTGACAGCACCACTTTAAACATCCCAGTCACAAAGACTGCAGGAGGAAACAGAGCTTTTCCCAAAAATCAAGTATCAAAAAAAACAACCCATAATCAAATCTAGCTCATGTTTAGATGCCTTTCCAGATCAAGAGATGGGACAAAGGAAGCATCTGAGGGATAAAAAATTGGGATTATGGGATGTTCTCCTTGTGTTTCAAAACACTTAGACAGTCTTAAAGTGGAAGGTATAAGACCAGCATTACTCACATTCAGCAGTAAACTACTTTAAGTTTCTATAAAACAAACCAAAACCACGTCCCACCAGAGCCCCTAAAGGAAAGAAAAGTTTCAAAAGAAATTTGGTTAAAAAGGTCTGACACAGTATAATGCAAGGAATGTTTAGTCACTGAACAAATAAGAGAAGATACCACGTGGAGAATTCCATCAAAAGTAAGAACATAAAACCAACCAGAAATCCACTGTTTTTCTTGGATAAAAGCACCAAATCACATGAGACCGTATGAAAGAAAAGGATGTAAGGAAGGAATGTGCATAAAGAGTAAAAAATGTTTGGACACATAAATTGATATATTGCTGGTTTCAGCCATTTGCCAGCAAAGAGAAAACTTTATTCAGTTTATTATAAAATTTGGTCCAGTATTTAAATTGCTCTTGGTGGGATCCTTATTTTCAGATGTTTAATAAACCTTTGCATTCATTAACCAAAACCCAGTTCAGGTCTAACATCCTGCACAAGTCCAGCTGCCTGGTCGAGCCCAGACCAATTTCCCAAAGGCTTTTCCATGATAAACGTGACCAGTAGCTTAGGCTGGCTTTAAAATAAGGCCAGAAACAACATTTATTTAATCTGTGATAAAAGCCACAGGGCCCCAAGCACTTTAATTTTAGTGCAACCCACAGAAATTCCCAACACCCCATTCTTTACACATCCTTCAGTTAATTTCCATCAGACTTCAGGGGTGACTTGCTATATGAGACAGCTGGAATCTGCAGTTGTTCCCACTCATTTTTTTTTTGGTTTATTGGTCAGAACTAGGCAGGGTTAAATAAAGGGTATGTTGGTTATTTAGGAGTCAAATTCAAGTTTCTGAGAAAAACTAAAGCTATTTTTGTGTAACATTTTCCTGTTTCCTGCAAGGCTTTCCTTTCCGTAATGGTAGGAATAGTGCCATGATGCGTGTGGGAAAGGCCAATATTACTTTTTACCCTTAAACATTTGCTTTTCTTGTAAGATTCTTTCCCCCAAAGCTAAAGTAAACAAGCATATGGCATTCCCCAGCAGCACTCCCTGGATGTCAAATTGTTCTGTGCTGTCAGACCGAGAGGCAACAAGAGACACAATCAGTAAATTCACAACATCCGTGCCCATGATCAGCTCCTTTTTCTCTCATTCTTCAGGTTGTGTTAAAGAGTTTTGAAAATAAGTAGTGTTATTTCATCAACAGCTTTCCCTGAGGTCGGAGCTGAAGGATGACAACCAGGTTCTTGGAGGTTAGTCCTGTCACAGGGATGTCACTGTGACTGCAGTAAATGCATCCACCATGCAGGACTCCACAGATCAGTGGGACACAGCAATGCAGTTCCTCATTTTAACTGACTGCAGCACAGACACTCATTGAGGGGGACGTTTTTTAAGGCTCAAAATGAAGGCCCAAAAAGAGAAATGAACCTGTGACCCTGTTCTGCACCGGATCCTCGCCCCTAATTTGCATCATTCCCAATTTTAAGACTACTGTTAAGTTTCACTCAGGAAGGTAATTTCTTTATGCTCTTTTCTTTCAATTCTTGGAAAGGCAAGGTATTTATATCTCCCTACAGAGCTGCCAAAAATAACTGAGACCAGTACAACAGTTGTCAGCATCTGATGTCAACTGCAAAGGCCAAAGCCTATTTAGGTTTGCATATGGCAACCTGCTCTCCAGAGAGAACTGCTGATTCCAGGGAAGAAATATGACTGTCAGACAGCCAAGTGTGCCAGCCCACACTACTGAGAACCCAGGAAAGGATTTTCCCTTTGTCTTGGTAAAGAAAGATGATGCCTCTTATTTGAAGTTCAAATGGATATAATCAGATACCAGTAACTGAAAGTAAAACTGAAATTTTAACAGAGATTTTTGTTTCCTGTCAAAGAAAAGGCATGGTGGAAATATTCATATGCAGCAGAATAAATATGACCTGTCTGACAACTGGTACATTTATAATAAAAGTACATTTTAGTGTAGAAGCTTAGAACTGGTTTATCTCACAACTGTTAACATCAAAGGAGAAGAGCAGTAATATTTTTGAATTCCTATTATTTACAATTGTCCACACATTATTTAGCAATATGATAAAACCAAAACTCACACTGACTACAGTGTAATAGTAATACCAGATTTCCACACTGCTGGAAACAAAATTTCCTTTTACCTCTTGGGAAAAGAGGAGTGGAGAAAGAGAAAATACCCAGTCGATGTGAACACTGAGGGAACACCGAGTAACCAAGGGGCAAAATTTTCTTACATGCAAGGCCATGAAAGCAAAATAAAAATTCAGGTTATACTAATAATATGAGGAAATAAAACTAAAACCCTGGAGGCATCTCACCTTTGGCTCTGCTTGTGTGAATTCTGCCACGAACCCAAACCTCTTGATCAGCCTTCTCCAACGTCAGGTCTTTAATGCGAACCAAAACTCTATCTGAGTCACAGGAAGAAACACAGATGTTAAAAGTTCTGGGGTTTTTGAAGCAAAATACTTGTCACTTTAAACTACAAACTGCCAAAATTCAAAATAAATCCCAACCATTACTTTTTGTATCTACAGCACAATCGATGTACTGAAAACTCCCCAGATCCCCTTTCCTTTCCCGGTGACTTGAAGAGGATCAAGGAGCTTTAACTCGGTTCAGTTTAATTTGACTTACACAGCAGGGTCAGGCTGCCCTTCAACCACACCAGCACTCACTGCAGGTCACGGGTGGCAGAGCCCAGCGTGACTGCACTGGTTTTGAAAGGACTTCACTGCACTGCTTGCACTTATCAGCCTCAATTTCTGCTGCCCTGTGCCACTGTGCAGCCTGAGGGCTGGCACGGGGAACCAGCAGAGCAAAGGCTAATAATTATTAACTTTAAATTACTTTGAATTAATGAATAGCAATTTATTGAAGAGAAATATGAGAAAGGAACCACAAATAAATGTGCATTGTAAAATAAAAGAAAATTTATTTTGATAAAATCAACGGAGTTCTGGAGCAACAAGAGTATTACTGTGTAAAATGGATAACAATTTTAAGAGGGAATCTGATTGACAACCTCATCAAGCACTGCTATGACTATCACTGTCAGAGCCAGAGTTGATCAGAAAGAACCCCTCAAATTCAATGTACCCATAAAAGCTAAATAACAGGAATGCTTGGTTTGGAAAAGTCAAATTTCGGGTAGCAAAGGAAAATGTTTTTAAATCAGTCAGGACTTTAAAAACTGCACACAACCATTTTGAACTGCCAATATGCTGGCTGCATGCCACTGTTTCTTGCAATGCACTCATCTAATTGTATTTTTCTGGCCAAATGCATTTTTGCACGGCCTCAAACACTTTTTGTAGTATCTACAAACCAAACAGAGGATATAGACAGCACTGCAGAGAACCTCGTGGGTTCCAACAGCTACACTTGCTCACTTGCAGTTAAAAACATTGCTTGTGAGGCAACAAAATTCTCCAAGGGAGATATTGATCCTTCTGGGCCTCTTCCAACTGGAGATTTTCTCTGCTTCTATGACCTGCCTTTCCTCACAGACTTCTCCTGGTTTCAAAGTTACACTGCGTTTACTCGGACGCTTCCACTGGAGATTTTTTCCCGCCAGAACTTTTCCAAGGTTTGCCCATCCCAGGCTACCATCTGCTCTTCTGGACTCCTGCCTTCTGTCTCTGAGCGCCAGTCACAGCAAGCCCATTATTCTGCACCAGGGATTTTAGGGGGCTGAAGGTGTTTATTAGTCATGCTCAGGGCAGTGCAGCTCTTTCTTCACAGACACACAATAACACCAGGACAGAATGGAAACTAAGACACGGAAATGTGACGGGAAATCACATTACAAACTTGAAATATTTTCTAGGTATGACACTTTTTTTGGATCCTTAGTGCTTCAGGACCCATCTGCACTAGATCAATATTTTTCAAGAGTCATTTGGATAGATAATGGTTCATGTTTCACCGAGAGCTAACAAGACACGGTCAACACAAAAATTGTTACATGGTATGAATTATTAAAAGCTATTTCATCTTTCATAAAAGGGTAATAAAATCATATTCAAAAAGAGACGCCATAAAGTCATTTTTTCCACCAGCAGACCACAGAATCACAGCATGGCTGAGGTTGGGGGGGGCCTCTGGAGGTCATCCCACCCAATCCCATGCACAGGGCAGGGTGACAGAGAGCCACACGTCCAACATCATGGTCTGATGGGGTTTTAGTATTTCCCAGGGCAGAGACTCTTCCTGGGCAGCCTGTGCCAGTCCAAAAAATGTTTCCTGATGTTCAGAGGGGGCTCCCTGTTCCCCCTCTGTTCCCACTACCTCTGTTCCTGTCAACGTGCTCCACTGAAAAGAGCCACACAGAGCAACTGTGCCCCTTCGCTTCCCTCCTCCCACACTTCCCAAATCTGGCCTTTTCCTCTCATTCCTAACATGCCAGTAGCTCACAATGATGCCTACATTTGTTAGTGTAAGCAATCATCTGTCTTTGTCTCTCATTTTCTCTTGTCCAACCAATACTCTGGATCTTCCCTCTGTACCCTCATGTATCATTTGACCTGGAATTCCTTCCAGCTCGTTTTCCTCTCTTCCATGATAAAAATGAAGCTTCCTGCTCTCACTTGTAAGGTCCTCCCACCATATTCTTCAGACTAGTACCTACTGTTCTTTCACAAATGGAAGCCACACTTATATTTTCTGTCTTCTTCCCACATAAACACTTTGAGACAATTAAATGCAAAAATAAGAAGATGTTTTAAACCATGCCACAGTTGCAGTGAAAACAAGACAACAAAGACTATAAACAAAGTTCAAACACAACACTCTGTAAGTCTGAAATTGCACTTTAGCCTCAATTCAGTTTTATGGGGAAGCTGTATTTTTTGTTTCCTTAATGTACAGCACAATCTCTTCTTTTCAACATGCTAAATAACCTTATCTTTCTCTGCAAGCTCTGACCTCTTCTAAACACGGGAGGGGAGGATAAAAGCCCAAAGAGCTGTGTGGGATATACAGGACAAAATGAGTTTTCCGCCTCCAGACCCCATTCCCTGCCTGTCAACTAAATCAATTTACCTTGCACCATGGAATTTTGAACAGATTGATCAGTACTTCTGCTGTCCCTGTGAAGTGCCAACATCTTTGCAATATTCGATAAAGTGGAAAAGAGAAGGTATGTTTGATTAAAGAAAAAACTGGAAGTCAAAAGCAATATAAGAGGAAAGCAGGTTCCAGGGAGAGGAAATGAGGTAATGGGGCTGAAAGGAGAAAAAACAAAAGGCAAAAAATGCAGTTTTATTAGAAACTATGGCCTCAAATAAATGAAATGAAAAGTAAATTCTCAAGTCAGGACTTAAAAGACCTGACATAACAGAAATGAGACCACCAGAGAGCCAGGGCAGCCAACACTAGCAGCAGAAAGACTGAAGTGGGCCAAGAACACAGGTGTGTGTGAGCTCAGCAGAGCAGGGTGGAGCATCAACACTGGGAGCCTGGGAAAAGGGTTTTAATTTGCCTGCAGAGGAACGACAACCCTTTGGCAAGAGCTCTTCTGGCAAGAAGTGCTGAAGCTGTAAATAAGAGTGCACTAGTCTCAATGAAGAGACTGTGATTATTTCCAACTTTTTTATTACAGGCATTTTGTTCTTTATTGTTACCTAATTTTGGTCTTCTGGGCAACCATCTGCTATGTAAGAGAACAGCAGGAGTGTTGTAGGTTGTATTTGAAGCCCAATGGAAAACCCAATGTTGTCCCTACACTGAGACTTTTTTAAGAGTATCAAGGGTCACAGGGACAATATAACATAACTAAACACAGCAATCAGGCTTTTTCAACCAAAACAACCATCCAGAGGAGAAAAAAAATCACCTTATCACAGATGATGTTACTTCTTTACATTTCACTGTGAAGAAGTCACAAAAAGTCAGTCTATTCCTTCCCCCATTCTTGTTTCATGCTCTGAATAAATATAAAGATTAGTATTTCCTGGGATTTGACCCGGGAGATTGTTCTCCAGCTGACAAATTTCTCTGAATTTTCAGTAGAAAATGAGGATTTCCTGAATTGAGGGTGCTGTGAATAATGATAAACCCCATAAATATGAATGGATTTGTGCTCCTATGCAGGAGCAATGCAGGCTGCATAAGCAGACAGAGATCCTGCTCAGAGAGCCCTGCTGCCACAACCACAGCAGTTACACCAAACACAGAAAAACTCTGACATCTCAGGATTCAGTACATTATAAATCATAATAATTTCATAATAACAACAGAAGTCAAGCCTGCAGTGCTGGACAGAGACGGAACTGCCCAGCTGTGTAAGGTGTGGCCCAGGCAAGGGCAAAGATTGAGACTCCACAATCTCTCTGGAGCCAGCTCCCATATCCAATCACACTCCTGGCTTTGGTTTTTTCTTCCCTCTCATTTCCATTTCCTGACTTGTGTCCATGACCTCCTGTCCAATCACCACACACACTTCCAAAGCCTGGCTTTACCTTTCCTACACCCTTCCAATGAGCAGACACGAACTGCAATAAAACCTCCCCCCAGCTTCCCCTTCTCCAAGCTGAACAAGCCCAGCTCCCTCAGCCCCTCCTCTCCCCTGAGCCCCTGTGCTCCAGTCCCCTGGGCAATTTGGTGCCTCTCCACTGGAGTGGCTCCAAAATGTTCATGTTTCCCTCGCACTGGAGAGCCCCAAACTGGACACAGCACTCCAAGTGTCAAATGTATTCAAACAAAGTGAAAGAATGCCACTGGGATTTGAATGAACAAGTTTGGTAAATGATTTCTCCAAGTAGTACTGAAGGTATCAAGTACATAACTTCTTTTTTTCCTTCTTTCCCCATCCCCCCTCTTGTTTCCTTTTTCAACTGACCTGGTTTCTCTTGGGATTGTATCATTGATGACACTCCATATCTTTCCTTAGCATAATCCTAAAACGGAGGTGAGAAACACACATCAAAGAAGCATCCACAGAAAGATGACCAAAATCACTGCAGAGTTAACTGATGGAATACAAAATAATTAGGTGTAATATTAAAGAAACTGTGTTTTAGACTCCTAAGAGACAAACAAGGGAGAGAAGACAGTTGTGCCAGGTAAGAAAATAGTAATTCCCACAAGTGCATACATGCACGAGGATCATTACCTCTCACACAGAAATCTGTGTGACTTTCTCTACAAAGAGCCTACTCCTGAAAATACTGAGTCCTACAGAAGTGGATACATTAAATATCTCCTTCCCACACTCAGGCACATGGAGAAATCCAGGAGATCACACGCAGTGGTCACAGCCCAGTGAAGCCTGCCTGTTAACAAAACCTGCCAGGTGAGACACAGGGGAACACGGCCTTCCCTTAAAAAATATCACAATTCGAGTTTCACAACCAAACCCACTCATTTAGAATAAAAATCCTTGAATTATTTATTTCATTCTATTCAATATACGAACCAAAGTTCGTTCTAAATGCTTTATTTTGGGTGGGTGGGGGGGACACTTAGCTCCTCTGCTTTTGATAAATTGTGGCACATTCACAATTTCATGGAAGCCGCCAACATTCAGAATTCCTTACTGTTGATGTATTCTTGGCCTTCCAACAACAAGCAAAACAGATTTCATTACAAAACGAACTGATGTTCATTATTAGTACTTTTTTTTTTTCCCTTGAAGAAACACTGGCCTACAATGCTTCATTACTGCTGTGTGATCTTCACGTACGAGGCAGAAGCACCCGCAGCAGCCCAGGTGTTTCTGGAGGGGCTGAGCTCTTCAGGGAATCACAGCCCGGGCCCGGTGAAGGTGTGTGTGTGGGGGGGACAGGCAGGGTAAAGCCAAAGGCAGCCGCGCCCCCGGGCCCGGCCAAACCCCACCCCGGGGAGCCTCCACACCGCGCCCGACCCGCTCCGTGCGGACACCCACATCAGCCGCCGAGGAGTCCTCGTTCTCCGGGCGGCGGTCGTGGCCCTGCCCGCGGCTGGCGGCGCTCGGCATCTCCGCGGCCGCCCCTCACGCTCTCCGGTCCCGCCGCTTCCGCGCGCCCGGTTCTCGCGAGAACAGCCGCACCCGCCCCGCCCGCGGTATCGCGAGAGCGGCCGCCGGCACGCGCTCCCCTCAGGGCCGGGCGCGGGCTCCCTCACGGCTCCCCTCAGGGCGGTGTCCCGGTCCCGCCCCGCCGGCGCCGCCCTTGGCCGCCTCCTGCTCCCCTTTTCGTTCAAAAGGGGTCCTTTTCACCGAGCCGCTGACGTCCCGACGAGGCTCAGCGCCTCCAGCCCCGCGCCGCTGCTGTGCGAGGCTGAGATGGGCTGAGGCAGAGCGGCGGGAGGGTTGGGCGCTCGCCTGCCCTCCTTCGCGGTCAGGCACGGTGCGGCCTGAGGTAACATCTCAAAATCACGGAATCCTCAGGGTGGGAAGGGGCCTCTGGGGATCGTCCAGTCCAACCCCCGCTGCCAAGGCAGGGTCACCTGGAGCAGGTGACACAGCTGGGTTTGGAATGTCTCTAGAAGAAGGAGACTCCACCCTGGGCAGCCTGCTCCAGTGCTCTGCCACCCTCAGCGTTCTTCATGTTGGGGTGAAACTTCTTGTGTTTTAAGTTATGGCCATTGCTCCTCATCCTGTCAGTGGGCACCACCGAAGAGTCCTCCTCTAGGTACCTGCCCTGGAGATAGTTATATGTGTACAAATAAGTATGTTGTGGAGCCAAACCACAGTGCACTTCTGTTCTGTGTCCCCCGCAAACGTGGCTTCCCCGTGCTTACCCCAGCAGCAGTTCAGTCTCCTGACCCCTTGCCCAATTGTGCTGTTTATAATTAGTTAGCTGTTTATTAGTTAGCTACCAGTGGTAGTTTGGGGGGGGATGAGCAATAGTGCAAATGCAGGTGTTTCCCTCCAGCTGGGTGCCTGAAGCAGCGCTGCAGTTCTGAGGCCAGGGCTGGCTGCAGGTGCCAGCTCTGAAATTACACAAATCAAAGCTGCAAGCAGCTGTCGGGTCCTATAGATTCATGGATTGTTTGGTGCAGGGTGAGAAAGAGTTGGCTGTCCTGATTTAAACTGCAGTTTTGAATTTTCACATTTGACTAACTAATGCTTCTTGCGGTATCGATTAGAGCTCTTCGCTTCCTGTCCTGCCGTTGTTTATTTTGCAGCACTTTGTACTGCACTGGTTCAACACCTCTTCTCTTGGGAATCCCCTTGCAAAGTTCCCCTTCTGCCCCTGTCTCAGAGAATTGTCACTTCACCCCGAGATCACGCAGCTTTCACAAAATCCTTTCTTCTCGTGCGCCCTTGAGTTAAGACTCAGCGGCAGAGAAGGCAAATCACAGTTTTCATTCCTCACCACAAGAAAGCACGTTCTGATGGCAGGGTGTTGAGTAGTGTACGTGAACGCTAATGTAACAGTAACGACACGTGGATTTCTCACAGTGTCAGTGGTGCCTTTTCTGTTTACCTGTCACCGCTGCTGAACCTGAACTAACAGGCAGATGCAAATCTCGTTCCTCACCACGGAGCAGAGGACGCCACCTGCACTGACACAGCCACACAGCGCTCTGCAATTCCTGGCATTTCACCAGCCTTGCTGTGAAACTCAGTCCAGAGAAACCAGCCCTGTAAGCTGTGGTGAATAGCATGAGTATTTCCACCGGGGCAGATAAACTGAAGGTGGTTCTGAAGGAAAAGCCCTTTCTATGTAATGAGGGTGTTAACTGAAAACAAAATACGGCCATCTGAAGGGCACTGGGCCTAATTACTCCAGTGCCCAGCTTTCAGAAGAAGCATTTTCCAGAGTCCGTGCTCTCAGGTCGTTTCTCCAGAACCCCTTTGTTTTGCAGCACAGAAACGGGGTTTCTGAGCAAAAAAAAACCTGTAATACACTGAAAGTAGAAAAAATTAAGTAGTTTTAAAAATAACTACTGACAATAACCCCTCAGAAACCTCCATTTAATTCGGGCCTGCAGCAAGGGTTTCCTTTCCATCTCCACCTCAGTAAATCAATAACAGCCCTTCTGTTGAGGGCACGTGCAGACACGGCAGCTCATCTGCCGCACCTTCTGTGTCACGGCGCTGCTGCGGAGGGCGGTGCCGTGGGGGCAGTACCTGCACCGGACCTGCGAGCGATAAGCAGGAGCAGGGCCGGGGGCGGGGGCGCCCAGCGCCGTCCCCCGGGCCCTGGCCCGGGATTACCACATGGAAATGACATCACCCGCAGCCAATCCCGCGGCCCCGGGGGTGCAGCTGGAGGGAGGCCATACC